CGCTCTATCATGCATATTATTCAACATCATACTTGAAAAAATAATAAGAGACACAACAGTTAATACCCGAGGAACAATAATTAATAAAAGCGTGCAAGTACTAGCATTTGCAGATGATGTTGACATAATCGCAAGATCAAGAAGAGAAATGATAGAGGCATTCACTCAAATAGAACGAGCTGCAAAAAATAGTGGTCTTAAAATCAATCAGACAAAAACAAAATATATGCCTGCAAATAAAAACGCACAAATACGGCAGCTGCCACATTTAACAATAGGAGAATACAACATTGAGGCGGTAAAAAACTTTACATACTTAGGATCCCTAGTTACGTCTGATAACAATGTTGCAGAGGAAGTCAAGAGGAGAATATTTATTGCCAATAAATGTTACCATGGCTTAATTAGGCAACTAAGATCAGATAACGTCTCCAGAAAAACAAAATGCCAAATATACAAAACCTTAATAAGACCGGTACTCACATACGGTTCAGAAACCTGGACACTCTCTAAAAGGGAGGAAACGTTATTAGCCACCTTTGAAAGAAAAATCTTGCGACACATATATAAGGGCACAAAAGAAAACGGGATTTGGCGGAGAAGGTATAACTTTGAACTATACAACATATACCAGGATCCGGATATCATAACATTCATTAAAATAGGAAGGCTACGTTGGATTGGACATGTGGAAAGAATGGAAGAAGGCGAAATACCAAACAAAATATTCAAACAAGTGCCAGTAGGAAAAAGAACAAGAGGAAGACCGAAGCTGAGATACGTAGAACAAATAGAAAATGATATAACAACATTAAAAATTAAAAACTGGAAAAAAAAAGCACGAAACAGGTCAGAATGGAGAAGAATCCTTGAACAGGCCAAGACCCAAAAAGGGTTGTCGAGCCAGTGATGATGATGATGATGAGATGACTATTTTCGCCAGAAAAAGAAGGATCACGGGCTTAATACCCCGAAGGATTCTAAACTGCAGTCTAAACTTTTCTGAAGAGGTGAAATACCTTGGTATTACCCTTGACAGGAAGTTTAGTAACATGAAACTTCCATCATTTAGATGGTAGAGCTAAAAGAGCATATATTGCCTATGAGCACTGTCGACCGCACTTGGGACCTTTCGTCTAGGGTGATCGCCTGGATCTACTTTACTGTCATTGGGCCAATCTACGGAGCTATTGTTTGGGTACCAAAAGTTCTTATACAACAGCGATCAACAAACTTAACTATATTCAGCGGATGGCTTGCCTTATAAAAGGTGCCATGAAAACAACACCAACTGCTGCGTTGCAGTTTTCCATTGGCATTATACCTCTAGACATAGATGTCAAAGAGATGGCGCTCTTGCGTTTCAATCATGCGATTAAGCTCAGCGGGTGCAAAATTTGATATAGGACTGGGGCAATTGAGATGTCGTTTCTGGCGGGGAGTGCTAAATGCGCTGCCCTGCTGCCTACAGACTGCGACTCAATTATGTAAATCTCAATTTGTTTTCGACAAACCCAACAAAATCGAAACAAGTAGCATAGGGAGTCAAACGTGGCAGGCGTATTGAATATACACCGATGGTTCCAAAATGGAAGAAGACTCAGAATGCACGATATACTCCAGATCACTGAATCTAAGAATAAAGCGGAGTATGGGCAAAATGCGTAGTTTAGACAGAACTAGATGGTATCTTCATAGCCGCAAAAGAGATAACCCGAAAAGGTATAGCTGGAAAAACCATATCAATCTGCACGGATAGGAGACAAGCGCTACTAGCTTTGAATAGAACACAGGTCACACCCGGGTTAGCAGTGAAGAGTCATGAGTCACTATTGCAAACTTAGGGTGGTAATAACATTATCCTGAGGAGGGTGAAAGGACACAATGGGAATAAAGGCAACCGCATTTCTGACCAACTAGCTATAAAGTTGGCAGGCCTAAGACGTTTAGAACCTGATTATCTTTTTGATTGGTCAACTACAAAAATCGCAGAAATTGCCAAATGTCACTCCTACGCGCAAATCGTGAAAAGATGGCAAGAAGGGCAAGGATGTAGACTTGTCAGGATAATACTAAGGAAAAGTTGACCTTGAAAAGTTAGCATCCAAGAAGTACTTGAAAATGACTAGGGAAAACCTAAACTTGACAATTGGTTTTTTACCTGGTCATTGTCAACTAATCAAACACCTCCACACTCTGGGACTAGTAGACATAATTCTATGCAGTAAGTGTGAACAATAAACTGTCAAGCATCTCCTATGTGAATATCGAAGGATATTATATTTTTTGAGAAACCTTATGCACGAGAATTTATTGAAAAATAAATTCTCGTGCATAAAACTGTACCGTTTTTAAATAAAACGAGCGGTACGAATTTATATAAATATATTTATTTATAACTTTACAGTTCGGTACTATCTTATCAACTAAACTACCTCAATCATGGTTAGTTATATATATATATATATATATATATATATATATATATATATATATATATATATATATATATATATATAGTACAAATTATTATGTTCGAGAATATTCGGGAGTAGTCCCACCTCTAATTCGTTATTTGACGGGTGGAATTTTACAGCGCTCGATATATTGCCGGATATATTGCCGGAAACTTCTCGGTGCTTCGAGATGCAACCGTTACGTGGCCATACCGAAAGCATGTTTGTAACACTGCTCCCCTCTTAGATCTGAGCGTCCCGATCAGCAACTCTATATGAAGGCCCAGCATGGCGGAATCTACAAGCCTCTCCAGATCTGCATGACCCCCTCAAGAAGAAATAACAATCTACTGTGTTTGAAGGACACGATCTCTTCGGATTAGTGCAACAAAAAGTAATTCTTACGCCGGTTTCTCGGACGATCACTTCAAGCATGCTTCTGACAATCTTCCAATCCAGATTATTTAGTGCATGGCCTATCTTGGGTAAGGCCAAATTCTTAATGTCGTAATTGCAGACGATTTTCTTCAAATTAGTTAGAGCACACCATATATCCTCGTAGGTTGCCCGGTCTGTATACGACTTCCTGGTCACCATATACAGCAAAGATCGAGAACCATCTTCTAATCTCAGTACTCTTCCAACTTTAGGCTGCTGGTTTTTTAACTCGTCCAAGCGACCGAATTTCGTATAAAATACGGATGAGATTCCTTTAGTCATCTCAAAATCTTGGGCAACGCAGTGGGCTAGAGTGACGTTATGCGGAACACTAAAAAGATCCTGCTGAACTTCTGTCGTCACGCCGAATTTATCACTCTTTCTCTCTGCGGAATTTGACATAAACTCATTAAAGCTTGGTCGCCGATCTTCTTTGATCTCATGTTGAAGGGTTCGGACTTCTTCGTTTTCATTTGAGCCAGCATAAGGTGCAAGACGATTTATGTGAACTACTTTTGGTTTACCTTTCGGCTCGGCAACGACAAGCCACGACGACGTTGTGGATTATAAAGCCAAACAAGATCACCTACTTCATAGCTTTCATTCTTGCATCGAGAATCGTATTGATCTTTTATTCTGTCACTGGCTAACTGAATTTGGCGGTCGACATAATCTTTGCTTGCAACATGTCCTTCGGCAGGTCTGCAGCCAAACTCTAGGTCGCAGGGCAAACGAACTTCACGACCTAACATCAAGCAGGTTGGAGTCTGGCCTGTAGTTTCATTCACGTCCGAGCGGTATGCCATTAAGAATAAATGAATGTGCTGGTCCCAATCTCTTTGATGTTTTGATACAACTTTGGACAGGTGTTTATCCATCGTTCGGTTCATCCTCTCGACTATTCCATCTGATTGAGGATGCAGGGGTGTCGTTCTGGTCTTATTGACACCAATCAAATTACAAACGTTTTGGAAAAGGTTTGACTCGAAGTTTCGCCCTTGGTCGGAGTAGATCTCCAAGGGAACACCAAATCGGCTAAAGAATTTTTTAACCAGTACCTCTGCAACGGTAGCAGCTTCTTGATTTGGTATCGCATAGGCCTCAGTCCACTTCGTAAAATAATCCATAGCTACCAGGATATATTTATTTCCATCATTCGTCTCTGGAAGTGGACCTGCAATGTCGATTGCTACTCTTTTCATAGGATTGCCAACATTGTACTGTTTCATGGGTGCCCTCTTTTTACCAACTGGACCATTACTGGTTGCACACAGTTCACATTTCCGGCACCATCTTCTTACATCATCTTTACAGTTTACCCAATAGAACCGTTCTTGAACCTTTTGCAGAGTCTTCGTAATACCAAAGTGTCCACCTGATGCACCGTCATGTAACTGACGCAATACTTCTGACACTTTACTTTTAGGTACAATCAATTGAAGTTTAGATTCTGTACCATAAAGAACTTTCTGGATAACCAGAAAGCATCAATTTCGTCGATTGCTGGTTTGTTTCTGGGTCGTAACAATATACCCAAGTTTTATTTATTACACGAATTCGTAGATCTAATACAGATAAAAAGTTGGTTTAGTAATTAAAAAAAAAAAAAACGGATTTTGAACATTCCATCATGAAACTAAAACGTTAAATATTGATTTTATTTTATAATTCGTGGTTTATTTTCAACTAAATTATTGATATATTACATGAATGTGATATAATGAGAGTTTGGTAAGACCATAGAATTTGGTAAATACTATATCAAATGACCAATTGATTCTCTGCTCATCATGACCAATATAGTCGTTTTAAAACGAACGACAAAGAATAAAAATATTTGTAACGTACAAGTAAATTATCGCCACTATAAAATACTTTCAAATTATTGTAAGATTATAAACTATCTACTTTATTGCTACATTTACTTTTGCAATGTTCTTTAGATAAGTAAGATTCTTGAAACTAATAATGTAATGTTTGCAAAAATACATTTCGATCTGATAACAAGATTAGCTAATAATCTTGCTCTTGGATATGTAAGAGTGATTAAATGATAATACTTAAAGGTGTGTCTGCATAACCATTTATACGAATTTTTATTTACAGATAAGAGCCGAGAAGGAAAAATGCGAAGAACAAAAAGAAATTATAGAAAAGGAGAGAGATAAAGCTCTGCGGATGGTAAGTTTAATTCTAAATATTTTTATATTTACAATATGAGGATTTGGTGGAAACAAAAGTAACTGGGTATTAAACTGCTTTTTAAATGTTTACGAAATTTATTAATAAAGTTTTTTATTACATTGCCAATATTAAACGAAAAACAAAAAAATCATACGAACAAGCTGAATTTTGCTGATAATGTCAATTTTGGAACCCCAAAAGGATCCCGCAAAAAACCGTTTATGCCTCTTCGTAGGGGGAACGGAAAAAAACGATTTACCAAGTATGTCGTAGAAAAAAAGGTTTCTTAAATAAAAAATGTAGCTGAGACAACAAAAATATTTATTAGCACTTTTTGTGTAGAATGAACCTCTCTCTTAAAAACAACGCTTGCAGTGACCAGCGATTTTAAATGTCAGTTACGCGCGCCATATCAATTAAATAAATATTTGAAATAAAATTTGTATTAACTCGATTGTAAAAATTCGATATGTTTTGATCAGAGTGTCCTATTGACAAAAATCAAAAGCGTTTTAAAGGTGAAGAGTGTAGATTTCGTACGCAATATTTGTATTTTGCCGCAAATCAAGTAATTTTTTATAAAGGTGTTAAATAAATAAACGTTACGCGATTTTTGCCATCGATTTTGAGTTTTGGTAATACATAAAAGGTACTATAAATATGCCTAAAAACGCAGAATTTAAAGTTTTAAAGTACATACGTCACGGGAAAGGCTTCCACGAAGGCGTTATTGGCTGGAATTTGTAGCTGAAGTTTGAGAAGCAGTTTTAAACGTTTTAAATCGTTTATAATGTAAAAGTTTAAATTCAGCGTTTTTTAGGCATATTTCTAATGCCTCAGATTTGTTGCCTAAACTCATGCCTCACGCTAAAAGTTTTGAAAATTAGGATCGAGAAATGGAAATTCTATATCTTATGAGAATCATAAAAAATGGCAAAAATCTCGCAACGTTTATTTATTCTTGATCGCACATCGATTCTTGATACATCGATGTTTTCCGTTCCCCCTACGATAAGCCGTTTTAGGGGGAAGTCAGGGGGTAAAAGTGGTAATGTGGGAGTAAAATTCAGCTTGTTGGTATAATTTTTAGAGGTTTAGTGGCATTTTCGTCTTTGACAGCTGGAGTATAACTGCAGCAGAAGTACTAAAAGTATCATCTGAAGAATGGGTAATTCCCTTGTCTAGGAAATATAAGGTAACGAATTACTCAAAGCAGCTTCGGATAAATTAATGCAGATCCTTGCAGTTATCTTTAATAAGTGCCTCAACGAAGACACCACCCAGAGAATGAAATGGAGCTATCATATCTTCCTTTCTCATCTTTTTCGCTTGAGAAAGGTACTCTGCCGAAACAGCTGCAGTGATAATAGATTATAATAAATTTTGTGGAAGTGTCGAAAAGCAAAAGTTTTCAGTGTTTTATTATTAAGCAATACATGAGTATTCGGTCTTACACATATTTATCTTGACTCCTTGTAGCTCATATTTTTTCTTTAATTTCCTTATCATAATCCTAGCTGTCTTCTGCAAAAATGACCTGGTCATTTGCGAAAAGTGTTAAAAAGTGTAGCTGATAGACCACATCTCTGTTTAAGACCTTTTGTTCCGGTGATCTTGTTAATTTATGCTTGTTCTCACTTCTCTCTAACGTGCATTCTTCTCATTGCTTCCCCAGTTGTTTCCTCGGCATGCTATCGTATGCTTTCTCCAAATCGTTTCAATATTTTTTTCTTTGTTCTTTTCCCCTGTGTCATGACGAATATATCATCTAGATACGATGAGGCTTTTCGGATCGGCTTGTTCTTCGCCAATAGTCCATTTGTTGTTCTTTTTTTTTCTTGTATTACTGTGGAAAATATTTTGCTATTGAAGGTATTCACTAGTCCCTCCTTACTCTATAGTAATTTGGTGACCTTTTGTCACCTTTTTTGAAAATGGAGGATATGTGTGATGAATTCCACTTGTCTGGAATCTCCTCTCCTGCTTTGATTTTATTAAGTAACACTCATATAGATGATACGATCCTTGCGCCTCCATATTTCAGCAGTTCTATTTTTATGTTTCCTGGTCCTGGTGCTTTGTTGTTTTTGGCTTGTTTTAGCGTTTTAGTTATATCTTCCTCTGTGATTCCAGCTTCCCCTGTTATTGTACATTCTCAGTTTATATTCCTCTGCAATAATTTTGTGTAATGCTTTGTCCACCCCATTTATCTGTATATTTTACTTCGTTTGTGTTACACCATTTATGTACAACGTGTATCTTAAGTTGAAACGTTTCTTAGCAGCGCTATTGTTTAAAATATATCTAGAAGAGCCATTCAAAATATAACGACGAAAATTAGGTTAACTGGGAATAACGGAGGAAAATGACACAAAATGCTTTCTTCTGTTCGCGAACGATCAAGTACTGGTATCTATTGATACTGACGACTCATGCAGTTTGATAATGAAACTGTGTGAGGAATACGAGCAATGCGTATTAAAAATAAATGTACATTAGACCAAATCCATGGTAATAGGCGATGAGCATGAGAACGTCCAAGTTCTAAAATTAACTTAAATTTTAAAATAAACCTCTCCATTTATTGACCCACGAGGCGCTGCTGGAAGATATACAGAATTGTGAACTTTAAAAAGTAAAACAAGATTTTCCAGGAAAGATTCGGCTAGAAGAATTGCTAGAAATAAGTAATTTAATCTCAACTGTGAAATTCTTCAACTGAAATGAAAGTAAAAAGTTCGCCGAAAAATGCAGGGGTTTTTGGAGAGAAGTCAGTACAGAAAATTGATTTAGAATGTTTATATTATGTATTTTGCAGCGTTGTGATGATGAAAAAGAAACTGAAGATATTATTATGTGTGCAAAAAAATAAGAAGTGAGTACTCATGTAATTATAATATATCTAGAGCTAAATGTAACTAAATAAATACCTGCAACAAGAATATTTATAGCGAATTACAATTTTTCATTTGGATGATACTATAAAACCAGTATACAGAGACATCGGAAGATGAGATCTCATTAAAAATTATGATTCATTCGATACAGTCAATTCACAAGTATCCATACCTATATTCCAGTAACTTGTGCATTTCGGAGACATGATTTTTTCTTCCTCCTTGTCCTCTTTTTTACTGTTAACATATTCGACAATTATCAAATGTAGTCCTATAACTATATCTAAATTTAAAATATGTACTATACATCTCTTTATATCATTTTGGTATCTTTGTTGTAAATTTCAGTGATTTGCCGAACTATACGTTTTTGCTGCTATAATTTTTTAAATAATTTTAAAAAATAGTTACAATGAAGCATCTTACTAGTGTGTGCTCCATGATTAGAAAACATAGTGTTTGTTTTTGTCGTGTTGTTCTCTTAACCCAAAACATAACATTTTCTTCTCTTAGATCTCAAATTCCAGCAGTAGAAATTTTTAAAAAGATAATTAGATAAAATAGATTAAGGTAGACATTGTGGTATAATAACACTATAACTTAATTTTTTATTTCTTCGACCAATACATGTTTCCACTAAGTTCTTAACAATCCTTGAGTAGGATATCGTAAAAGTGTCGTAAGGATGAGGACGAACACGAGAATTTTGGGCCACTCTTTACTACATTAGTTAACTCTATATATCTCGTACTTATGATGTATCTTTTAATTAGCTTCAGGAACAAGCGAAGGAATCCGAATACAATAGAAGAAAATTGGAACGAGCTAGGCAAGAGGTCGTTACTCACATGACCCGAATAAAGAATGAGAAAGATTCGTTAGAAAGAGAGGTAAGTTTGTTTCATACTACATCTTAAATTAAAATTAAGAAATTTGAAAATCGTTAGTTGTTATGTTGTTTTTAAATTGCGTACCGAGATTTTACCTCTTAGCCGTAATTTTTTTTATATTTATTTTAACTAACAATCTGTATTTTGACTATTATGAGTATATTTTTCATATGTTTAAAACCATATTTTTCCATTTAAAAGCTATTTTTTGTACCTACGTACCATCTGTGGTACACGCCGGCTGTTATTAACATTCTTCAAGAAAAAACGTCGTGTACCACCGGTGGACACAATGTGAAGTCGTGGGTGTCGTAGTATTTTGTTGCATTTGTAACGGTTTTTTGCTTGTTTAGGTTACTGTTGAAGGTTATACATGTAACCTAAACATATACGCAGGTAAAAGTGGTTCAAATATATCTGACAATGATTTTGGACATTCCTGCAATATTTACATGGTATTACTTGAGGGGCTTTTGTATGAAGGAAGGACACTATATATTGATAATTATTATACTAGTGTAAATTTATGTCAAAAGCTTCTTCAGTGTAAAACATATGTTTGCGGAACTCTTAGATCTAAAAAAAAAAAAAAAAATCAAAACTGTATTAACAAAAACGGAACAAAAGGCAAATATCTGGAAAACAAAATGATGAGGGCATAAGAGTTGCAAATGGATGGCCAAACGTCCTGTATTAATGATTAGTACAGTTCCCAGCTATACAGTAAACCTCCAACTGACAGAAAAAAAAAAGACAAGGTGAAGACATCTAAAACTACCTGAAGTTATTGCGTTTAATAAGGCAAAGAAAGTTGTGGATTTATCCGACCAAATGTCTTCGTAATATACCCCGTTAAGAAAAAGCATTAAGTGGTAGAAAAAAGTGTTTTTCGAAATTTGTCTTGGCACATACATAGCAAATATGTGGATCTTTTCAATAATTATGGTATTAATCCTAAGACATGCAATATGTTATCTTTTAGCGAAAAAATTATTGAAGCACAATTACAAAGTAAAGTTACAGAAGGTCCTCGTGAACCAGATATTATTCCAATGAAAAAAAAAAAACCAAAATTATCTTTGGTAAAGCATAAGATACAAAAATATTAAGATAGTGCTAGACAAACGAGACGCTGCTTTTCATGTTATAAGAAAATTCAGGATACACAAGGATCAAAATTAGCACGAACAAAAACAAAAAGAATGTGTACATACTGCGATATATGTAAGGATAGATCAACTATATTCCTTCCTTGCTTATATGAAATTTACAAACCCGCCTAGTTTTGTATAATGTTTAAATTATCTCTTACGTTTTGTACAATATCTAAGTTATATTATGATTTTTTAATTTTAATAAACCATTTTTACTGCAGTTTTTTGGCCTTTATTAGTGACCATATAGATTATGATATGCCAAAACGACGGCAAACACATGTATTTAAAACTATACTTTATGTGTGTACGCAATATAAAGAAGATATCTTTTAACTGGAAGGTTTTAGAGAGTTAAAAAATATAAAGGTACCGTGTACCACCGGTGGCCATAAGTGCCTGAATGAACAGTTAGGCATGTACCACCGGTGGTACACGTCGTTGCGAACGTGTTTTAATAAAAATATTCTTGTGTTTTTTTTTGTCCATTGTAAATCTAAATTACTTGTATTCCATATAGTTTGTACTTAGATGATGTGCACTTACCACTTTGTTTCATGGGTTACGATAAAAAATACATCTTATGAGAACAAACAATAATTTTAGTTTAAAATACTCATACTACGTATGAAGTGATTTTCATCTCAGAAATCGTTCTCAAAATGTAAAATAAACAAATTTCTGTTTTTTTCATTTGGAAATAGAAAAATTCCTTTAATAGTTTAATTGTATCCCCCTCACTTATATTACTATCTTTGAGGTGTATTTCTGATACGACTTTATTGGCATATTGTTCACTTGATTACATGAAAGCAACTATTACTCTAGAACACATATCAGAAAAAATAACGATAGCATGTATTTGGTCTTTAAAAATACCACCACAAGGAATCCTAACAATAAAGTAATAAGTTCAGTTGTTAGTAACAGTTGCAGATGTAATATGATCCAACACTATAAATATTCTGCCTTACATTTGGTTTACTCTCTATCATGTTTCTCTTGCAGTATTCGGTGCAATACTGGTAAGTTTACTACTATACTCCTGCGCGGTATGGGTAACGTTTAATGCTAATTTATCAACTAGATCCTTGCATATTTTCCTGTACTTTGCTAATCCTTTGATCTCTTCCTATATTTTGTTAAATCTCTCCAGGTACCTTCTTGTACTTCTTCTCTATATAATTAACGGCCTCTCCACTCTATTTACTTGGCATGTAATAATCCAAGACTCGATATATTCTTTTTGGTTTTCCAAGCTTAAGGTCCATCCATTTCTATCTTCTTATGATGGATCTCTCCCTGTAAGCATCCACAGTTCTATGTTACTAATCTTGTTTAAAGGACTACAAGGTTTAAAGAAGGACAAATATTTCTTTAAATATTTATTTTGGAAGTATAAATTATAATATGCTTATTATTTGATAACATTATAAACAAATTTGCAACTCCATTTTCGTCCAAAAATTTATAATGAGTGACTCCCCCTTGATTTTCTATACACTCAATAACTCAATGGGACATTGATCGAATTAAGTGGTCTATATCATATTGCGGAATATTCATCCAGATTCATCTCATGGCATGCCAAAGGTCTGCTAGGTTTGATGGAGGACACGGCAATCGATTTAGATTTCGACCTACTATATCCCACGCATGTTCGATGGGTGACAAATCAGTTAACCTTGATGGCCACTCCAACGTCTCTATACCAGATACTTGTATGAACTCCATGATTTCACGGGAAATCTATGGTCTTGCGGTATCCTGTTAATCAGATCACATTTAAAATGGTTTATAGATATAGGTGTAAAACCGGTTGCAGTACTTCAGTAATATTTCCTCGAGCTGTCAAAGTGCCGATAATAAGAACTAATGGTGATCTGCTTCCCAAACATACCAAACCCCATACTATAATGCTTGATTATCTTGCTGTATAACGTTCAATAGCCAAGTCTATATTTCATCTCTTAACGTTTTCCCTTATGCGCCCAATAGAACCACCCAAACCAAAGCTAAATTCATCACTAAAGCAGACACAATATCATTGGCCATTCTAGATTTCCCGAGCTCTGCACCATTTTAAGTGTCGAGCTTTATGCTGTGGTATTGTTCTGAAGCTATTTTCTTGTGGCATTGTAAATTAATTACTATTAAACTGGGAATAAGCCACAATTAAAGATAAAGATACGTTTATTGACGTTTCAATTTCCACTTCGGAAATCGGAAAATTTTGAGAACGATTTCCGAAGTGGAAATTGAAACGTCAATAAACGTATTCTTATCTTTAATTGTGGCTTATTCCCAGTTTAATAGTAATTAATTATGCTGTGGTGTCAAAGGTAGCAACAAAAGCGGACGGTAAGCTCTTAGTCCCATTCCAAGTAATCTTTGAATAACTGTTTTTCTTGAGACTACCCTTTCTGCAGCTGCAATGAAATCATCTCTTACTTTATGTACATTCTCCTGTCGATTTCTGAGAACAAGAAGTCAAGGTGGCGCAAATCACGGTCTTGCAATATTCTAGGACTTCCATACTCTCCACTATGCCAATAAGTCTCACCATTGAACAACCTCTTCTAAACTCTTACCGTTGAGGATTAGCTTCAACTTTTTGAAAAATTTCCTGTAAACAAAATCCGACAACTTTCATGCCTACAATGCATCATTTTTGCCTACGATCGCAAACTGCCATTTTATATTTTCTGGGTAGATTAAAAACAATCTAAAATAACTAAAAATTACAAATAAACTAATGTTAAATACACAAAAATAAACTTTCTTACCTTTTTCATTTTTGCTAAAAAAAAGAAAAAACTTCAGTTATAGAGAAAATAAAAACTTATCACTTAAGTATATATTTTTAGATAACACTAGCACAGAAATACTTTTGATCCGAATAAATAACCATATAGAAAGCGTTGCATTTTTTGGCCATCAGTATATTTCACAGACATTTTTTAACTAATGTCTACTTTCTTCTCTAATATTTTGTATGCCTTCCAAGTTTTCGCTACATACAGAACGACATTTTTGACATTTGAACAAAATGTTTTTATTTTAGCTTTGTGCTAGTGGTTACTTCTTTTGACTTCCATATCTATTGAATGTTTTCCTTGTCACATTATGTGCTGTACTGTTCTCTGTCAGTATTTTGTCTGGTGTGCACTTATTTGTAGTGCAGTAAATTTGCAACTGTAGCTAGTTTATTTCTCAAAACATGTGTCCTATAGTACTAGTAAGGAGGTATATACTGCCTGCAAACCCTAGATCTTACAGTTTGGACAAGTATGTCAGTTTATGTCGGTGCGGTTATCTGTTGTCCTTTTCATTCTCCAGTCGATTACTATGAGGAATATTGTAGGTGGCAATATGCTGCCTTAACATACCCTAGAATATATGCATTGATTCGGTCAGTTCTCCATTGTGTTCGATTCTTGCAGTGCAATTAATTGTTGTATAAGGCCTTATATTTGTATTTTTTGGTAGTCCGCATTGAGTACGAATATTCCCCATTTCCTCTCTTTCCACTGAATCAAATGCCTTGTAAAAGTCGAAGAAAAGCCTCGTTTCTGTATCCTGTTCGAGGATTATTCTCATGTGCATATGTTATCTTTCTGGTGTGTATAGTGTCTGATTCTGCCTCAGTTTTTTTTCTTTTAGATTTCTGATTCTCTTTAATAATATTTTGGTCATAGGCAAAGGGTCTCGTCGAGGATAAAGGTGGGGTGCATATTTTATTGTTTTCAAGACTCATACAGGTCTCCAGGTCTTTTAGTCGAGACTACTACCTGAGGGGCTTTTCTTTTTGTTATTTGGGTTTTGCCTTACAGTTTGACTGAATTT